TTTGGGCGCGAGCCGTTTGGGCGCGAGCCGTTTGGGCGCGAGCCGTTTGGGCGCGAGCCGTTTGGGCGCGAGCCATTTGGGCGCGAGCCGTTTGGGCGCAGAATTTCGTGCTCGAAGAGTCCTTTTTGACTTGGCCGGGGAACACGTGTGGCTCTTCGCCCGCAGTGTCTAATTCTCCTGAGACTGCTCCATCTGGAGAGACTTTCTTAAGCCACGTTCTCGAGTTCGTTCATATCGTACATCTGCACGCAAGGGCGACATCAACAAACCAGGTCCGGAACGATTCGAATATTTCCCTCGTAGAATGAATCGAGCGCAATAAAAACCATCGGAAATTCCTTGCTCGAAACTTCCATCTATTACTTTTTATGTGCCGTGAAATCACATCTGGATCCTGAGTTTAGGAAGCTTCTCCTCTTGTCCGAGGAAAGAATCCTGTCGAAAATGTCTCCGGTCCCAACTCTAGTCAAATCGAATCGAGTCGGGACAAATTGTGTCATGATGGTTTCATGTATGTGTTCGACCGATCCAGTTCAGATCTTACGATGGAATTCTGGAGGTGTCAGTTTAAGAAATCGTGTAAGGTCCGTCTGCACAGGCTCATCGCAAATGGTGAAGTCGCTAAGGTATCAGGATCTCATAGTGATCCTTCGGATGCGGCAGGAGTGGAAATCGCAGGCAGGAGGACGGCGATGAAGCGTCGTGCGGAAGAAACGCAAGAGACGCCCGGACAGGTCATCAACAGCGTTCAAAGTGGAGCGCCTCTGGCTGTTCAGATGGAGTTCCCTTCGAATCGCGTTTTAGCTAAAGTAGTCAATCGTGTTCGCAAGGCCTGTGCGAGCGCCCCCGCGCTGCCCACCCATCGAAGTCTCATAATCATTCCAGAGGATTATGCAGTCTACGAGCCCACACCAGGAACGTCAGAGCGTTTCCTGATCGGGGATTCTGGTCTCGGAGACGACGAAAGAATCCTGATATTCGGCCGCGAGTCGGTTGCTAGCTGGATCGGACTGGTCGACAAAATCTACGTCGACGGTACATTCAGTCTGGCTCCCAAGCTCTTCCAGCAGGTGTTCGCAGTCCTGGCAGAGCGCTCGGGATTCGTCGTTCCTGTGTGCTACGCTCTCCTTCCAAACAAGAGCCAGGCTACGTACACCAGAATGGTCGAACTCCTGCATCAAGAGTGGCCTCAGTTTAATCCGATGCAAATCTCGGTCGATTTCGAACTGGCTCTCGTCAACGGGTTCCGGAGTGTCTTCCCGAATGCTGAAATCAACGGGTGCCTCTTTCATCTAGTCAAAAACATGAAAGCGAAGCTCGGAGATATTGGTCTCATTCAACGGTACAACCGAGATCCGGATTTCTCGTTGTCGGCTCGGATGATCCCAGCTCTCGCTTTTGTTCCGCCGGCACACATCAATACCGCGATGAGCGAACTAGCGCCAGAATTGCCAGAAGAACTGATGCCCGTGTTGAACTATTTCGAAGATAACTACATCGGCCGTTTGAGATTAGCTCCCGGCGCAGAAATCGTCCGCGCCCCTGCTCGCTTCCCCATCGCAATGTGGTCCGTCTACCAACGAACAGTGGACGGTGAAGCTCGGACGAACAATTTCGCCGAAGCAGCCCATAGACGTTTGCAGGGCGAGTTTGGGGTGGATCATCCTAGTCTTTGGAAGTTCATAGACGGTATCCGGAAAGTCCAACAGAGTCGAGATGTAACTTATGCTAGATACGTCGCAGGTCACAATCCAGAACCGAAGCGAAGTAAGTACGTCTCCGCCGATGAGCGAATTCTCAAAAATTGTGAGAGAATTCGGTCAGAGGACCACGGTGGACTACTTGCGTGGGCTGGCTAGGAATTTCAGGATGCAGGCATCGAACAGCGGACCGCAGACTGCCCCTGAATCGTCGGAGTCAGAGTAACGTGACACGTCAATGCCTCGCGCGTCCAAATGTCGATACGTTTAGATAAGCCTAACAACTCGCTCATCCCGAATAGTATGGTTTGAGCGGAGAATTCGAAGACCTAAGTTAAAGAATAGGATGCATCTCCGATGCCGTCCGTGTTCGTATCAAGCGCATTTTTTTTCTTCGCCAAGAGCATGATAATCTTCATACGCAGATGGATCCGCTCAGAACTCAGGATTCGCTCTCGGAAGCCTACGGGGAAGTATTTCCGGCGTTTCCGTCTAGTCGTAATCCAGATTGTCGTTCCACTGGAACCGAGCGATTGGGACGAGAATTGGTGATAAACCGTAAGCCGTTCACCGGGCAGCCAAGACTTCCGCGAGCAAACAATTCTGCGTCCTAATGGCTCGCGCCCAAACGGCTCTGCGCCCAAATGGCTCGCGCCCAAATGGCTCGCGCCCAAATGGCTCGCGCCTAAACGGCTCTGCGCCCAAATGGCTCGCGCCTAAACGGCTCTGCGCCCAAATGGCTCGCGCCTAAACAGCCGCGCCTAAACGGTCGCGCCCAAACGGTCGCGCCCAAATGGGGCGCTCCGAGAGCATCATTATCAGGGGCCCGTTTGGTTTTTGGGAGACTGCTGCGGGGGAAGAGCTTTGGGCTTGGCCGCTCAGAGAGGATTTGGTTACTCCGACGACGGTTTAGGCAGGTAGCATACATTACGCTCGCCCTCTTTAGTGGACCGAACGAGCGCAATCGTCTCAGGCTTGCCGACAACCGAGGCGAAGGAGGGCCGGACGCCGTCCACGGGGACGGAGGGGACAGGCGCTACGCCGGGAACCAGAACAGCGGTTTGCCGGACCGACACATTGTCGAGACCAGCAACAACCTTCCCAACGAAGCGCTCCTGGGCGGCCTTCGCATAAACAGAAAAGACAGGACACCTGGAGTCGTTCGCCGCATGTGAGCCCTTGCAGTTAACGCACTTCGCTCTCGCGGTGCACTGCCATAGTTGATGGCCGAGGCCGATGAGCTATCGAAGCTTGCCAATATCAGGGCTCTCATCGTCTGAGCTTGGACCTTGAGGGCGAAGGATGGGAAGACGACATTTGCAAGAAGTATTCGGTGATCGCGGCTGTCCAATTGAGCCGTCTCCGCCATCTGCAGATTGCAACTAACGGGTTCCTCTCGATACTGTTCGCATTGTACACGGTGAGAATAAGCTCCGCTAGTTGTTCCGACGAGAATTCACATTTTTTCTGTGGAGACAGAGTTTCGTTCTTTGAAGCGTACTTGAGTACCTACTACGTACAATTCGTTATATTCATCAATCCATCACCCCTGACTCATCTATTCATCCTTGGAACACAATTAGGTCTCACCTCTTTCGAGAATTTTCCAAGGAGGTTGTCTACGACACGGCACACCATTTGAGTTCCTGATGTTCTTCGGTTGTCGAACCGCTTGCTCTCGTTGCCATCTGATCTTCCCCGTGGAGTCGTTATCTTTTCGAGATTTGAGTCTCGATTGGCTTATAAATAGCTTCTGGTGGAATCCTTTCTTCAATTTTATTCTGTTCTGAAAGGGAATTACTCCGCGCCTGATGAGTTCTCCTGCTTTGGCCAGCTCGCCATAGGGGTCGTGTTGAGCGGCATTCGTTACAGCGAAAACTCGGTACAACGAACCACTTTCGTCGGTCCCTACGTGTTCGTAGTAACGAGCTTTTACTGTATCAGCCATTTGCATCAATGACTTGAAGTCTTTGGGACTTGCGGAAGCCACGAAATTCGCGAATTCACGCGAATCGCAAGACGCTCGGATCTCGTCGACGAAGTCTTCGAAGACAACCGGAACACCCACTTCTATCAACAGAGAATGTTTCCTCCTGATGAAGGAAGTCACAGGTCCGCTGAGTAGCCGTTTGCAACTGTAGTATTCAGCCGGAGACCTTCTACTCCCCTCCGGGAAACGCGCCAGGAACTTATCCTTGAAACACGCCCACGTAGATCGAGTCCCTATGTCGGCCACGAACCAGATCTTCGAATCCTCCTCCAGTGTACAGTATGCCGGTTTGAGGACTTGCTGATCAGACCATCCAATTATGTTCGCGTCCATTTCAAGCCGTTGTAACCATTTTGTCGGTTTGACGGGATCGAATGCTGGCAGGGTGCTTACGGGTATCAGAACCTCAAGGAGCGCAGCGAGGTTTTTTTCTGATGACTCCGTCGCTCTCCATACCGCTGCCACCAAATGTAGCGTTCGGATAACGAAGGTGGGGTTAGGAACGATGGTTTATTGTGAACTAGCACGGGCTTTTGTAGAAGCGTAAGATGGCGCTACGGGCGCCGCTTCAATATGGACCCTGGGACCCACGGACTTGACACCCCTGCCTCAGAACTTAGATACGCGCGATGCATCCCGTCAATCGTCGGCAGGCGCTCTGACGGCCGCATCGATGTAAATTCGCGAAAGTATCGAGTTTGAGGTATTGAAGTTCTTTCAGGCGGGTGATGCAACAACCTTGAACCTCATCGATGAGGGAGGCAATGCTAGAGGAACATGATGAGACCGCGACGGTTCCAACGGAGACAGCAGCATCGCCGATTCCCTCCGATGACGGGAAGCTTCATACGCAGAGATCATCAGCATCATAACAGAACAGACACCTCAGGGAAACAAGTTTCAGTCTGAAGCCAACCGCCGTTTTCACTGAACGGAGTTCTCCCGCACCGTTCCTCCGTACAGAAGATCCCCGTCCGAGCTTCCAAGCGTTCAAGCGAATTCCAGACAGGGAGTCCTCGGTACCTGGAATTGCTCTAAGTGGCCGTCCAGGCTCGATTTTCTGATCATGTCAGTCCTTGGGAGCTGGTCGTTTGCGCAGCTTCCTACACTGCATGGGCTAAAACCGCTTCTTCGGGGTCTGGTGGATACACGGATAAGAAGTGAGAATATAAGAAGCTTACTTAGGGTGGTTGTTCTCAGCGATTACGCGATATATCAAGTATTCATCGTTCCAGATACTTTACCTGACCCATTCCCCCTGGAATTGGAACTTGCCCTTTTCCTAGTACCGAGTGATAATCGCGAGAAGACCCGCTGTAAGTCTCTCTCAATCATGATTTTCAAATCCTCCCATACGAGAGACATCGGCATGTCTATGTAACAAGGATATCGTTCCAAATATCTTCGTTAGAGGAGCCTCGTCAAAGGCAAGTTTGCTCAGCCTCTGGCTGTATGGCTCTCACTTCATACAGCTCCTTTCAGTTCCCGGGCCAAGATACCATTTCTCGGGTACGTTCTCCAGCGCTCCAGAGCTTCAGGCTTTCCTCGAGACTGAACTCGAGCTTCTCGGTGAGTTTTCAATACTCAAGATCTTCCGGAACTCCTGCGTGATATTTGCGCTCCATTTATTCCGCGTATTGTGAGACACCAGAAGCACCATTCGTGCCGTCTCATTTTTATCTGACCCGAGCTGCTTCGCGAAACTTTTGCATGCATTTTCAGACTTTTCCATTGAACCTGACTACAAAGTACAAATCTATTGGCATCATGTGTGCGGGATGGAGTACAAATGGAGGTTGAGAGGTAAGAATTCTAGGTGGTTCGGGATTTCTCTTTTATCTTCCATGCATTAGGTCGGTATTCTGTGTCGAGGCCAGCGGTCCATAGAGGCCGCTCACACCACCATTCCGTAATCCGCATGGTGGGTTGAGCTCACGGGATGACAGATGAATTTGCTTTTGAAGTTCCGACACTGAGCTCAGCCGCCTTTGAAGCCGGTATCGAGTCTGACTTGTTCCAGAGATATGCATTCACATGGAAGCTGGGTCGCTGACGCTGAAAAATTGACTTTGACGATATTATTGAAAACCTTTCTCTGTTCCATAGAGATCGAAGCGCAGAAACGCGGCGTGCCCCCACCGAAAGGGATCGAGAGCTTAGCCGGAGAAGACAGTGTGCGAATCCGAAAAGAACTGGACCGTAAACTCCAATGCCTCGAGTGAAGATTCGATTATTGGAGCCGAGTGTAGCGGAATACTTCATAGCAGCGCAGGGATCCAGGAAGGAAGATCCTCAATGATTATGAGCTCGACGCTATGATTGGACGTAGGTACTCTGGGAAATTCCCACAGACTGTGCGAACTCTTCGTGAACCACAAGGAATGTATGATCATTAGAGGTATTCTAATAAACTATCTGCATTCCCGATGTGAAGGCGGTGTTCATGGAACTGAGCAGGAAAGCGATGTCACGCCAGTGTTGTAACAAAGCTCGAGGCAAAACCTCAACTACGAATAGTAGATCGTACACTTGAAAAGCTTCACCAGTCTGTCGGCAAGAATCCAAGTCGTTGACTTGCATCAAGCCCCGTATGTGGAAAGACCTCGACTACCATAATTATTGTCCCATGAAACTGAGTACCGTATTTCTTCTAATAAACGGGCATGCCCCTTCATTTTTCAACCAGCACGCTGAAGCGCGGCCTGTGGCCGCGCTCTTGACTCTCTTTTGCGCTTAGGAGAAATACCGAAGATGAAATGAATGAGAAGCATTGTCACAGGCGATCATTAGATGATCGGTCTGTTTCCCCCAACGTATGGTTCTAAATCGAAACACAATTTACGTTCTCGGGAGGTTACGCCAACTAAATGGGAACGCTTGAGGAGATCTAATTTTAGGCTTATGTAATAGACGGCTTTAGATTTCAATGTATCGGTCGGTTTCCACGGCCTCGGTTGAAGCAAGGGGATCATCGCAAGACCTCTTCGTAGACAATGTTGTTCATGCGGTTTTCAGGTGCAGAAATAAAAAGTCCCTCTCGGCACCTCGCACGGGAAAGCGCTACGTATAGTTGACCGTGACTGAAAATTGGGTCAGTTAGGTGGATGCCGACTCGCGTGAATGATTGACCTTGAGATTTGTTGATGGTCATGCAAAAACTCAATCGGATGGGGAATTGTCTTCGACGGAGCTTGAATGGTAGAGACTGGTGAGTGTAGTAACAATCAATTCGAGGAATCAAAACTGATGTTCCTTCTCTTGGACCGGTAGCGAAAGAACAAATCACGATTCGTCGGAGGATGTCGATGACGATGAAACGCGTCCCATTGCACAGACCATTTTGCACATCCAAGTTTCTGAGAGGCATGACAATGCAGCCTTTCTTCAAATTGAGTTCATGAGGAGGCAGATTGGACGGAGACATTCTGTTGAGAAACTCCGTCGGGAAATTCAAAGCGACACTTGGGTCCTCAATGATGGCCTCGTCTTCGCTAAGTAAAGTTTCAAGAGATCCAATAAGATGGTTGACAACGTAATCGTTGATTTTCGATGCCTCAGCGTTCTTCAGCGTAAGGATGGCGATTTCAGAAAGATCCACGGCCTCAGGGCTAAGAAGGGTGCTGCCCTAGATGGTTTCAGCGAGATTGTCTCCGACGCGCATTTCTAGCGGTACGTCGATGACGCCGTTACTTTCGCCGTCGCCTATCCTAAGGAGCCATTCCCGGAACGCAGCGTCATCCCCGGTCAAGCGCATGTTTGAATGCAGTTGGAAATTCCGGAACAGAGACCAAAGAGATGAGCATTTGAGACAGGCTTCAACGATTTGTCCGCGGGTGCCTTTTTCGACTACTGGGAGGATTTGTCTAAAATCGCCGCCGAGGAGCATGATTTTTCCTCCGAAAGGTGCGTTGTTTTGCATTATATCTCGCAGAAGTCGATCAACTGTTTCCAAAGCAGTTTTCGGCGCCATGGGGGCCTCGTCCCATATTATGATATCTGTTGCTCGCAATTTAGCAGCTTCTTTGGACTGGTTCTTCATCGACGAACTGCGGCTGTTGTCCTGAACAACTAAGCGGAATGTTGAAGTGACCGTGCGACCGTCTGGAAGCAAGTTGGCAGCGATGCCCGTCCAAGCTACGTTGATGACTTTGTGACCTCTAGAAACGGCAAGGTGGAATACGGTCGTATATACGAAAGTTTTTCCACTGCCACCGGGGCCATCAATGAAGTGGCAATTGGCAATGATCCTGGGGTCGGTCGAGAGCGCGGAGGACTTCGTCGACTATAAGTCTTTGTTCGTGATTCAGCTGCGCGTACATGAGCGATCCCATAGAGCGATGACTCTCTAAGTCGACTTCGGTTGTGACATCGTTGAATTCGGGGATGTCAAGGGGAAGAAGGGTGTGAAAGTCGTGTCCGAGATCGGAAAGTCTTTGAGCGATGTCGTGAAAGGCTTTTGATTCGGCTGCCGCGTCGGAGTATCCCGCGTGTAAGAAATCCTCCATGAATAGTAGCTTGAACTCGAGCCCGGGGGCTGGAGATCACCGAATACGATCAGAGCGACGAAAAAACTTCGAAACTGGCTCGGCATCCGCAGTATTGATGCTTCAAGTAAGGCGTTGCGGAAATACTCATCTTTTAGGAATCCAGCGGCTCTAGCGGCCTCAACAAACGTGGGGTATGTGTGTGAATGGACTGTGCGAACGTCTGCGAAGGATGTGAAACCTTTGCCGTGAAGTAGTAGGAGTCGTAAAGCGAAGCGCTCGTGATCATGGGGACTTACAAAATACATGCGTCCTATGCTCCTGTTGCCACCGCGTTGTCGTTCATGCCATCGCTTCTTGAATATGTAGTTTTCTGGCATTTGGTGGTAACGGAGTTTCCTGGAATCTATCATGTCTTGAGGAAAAGAACCCGACCGGAGTTCTAGAGCGTTGCACCTTTGATTCATATCGAAGAATGCAGTGAGAGTTGAAAAACGATGCTCGGCGGCTCGGAGTGCACTTTCTTCAGAACCTTCTTGGAAGCAGACGGTTTCAAAGCCAGGGAGGTGGACTTGGAGTCGAATCACGGTGTCACTACGATCGGTCATCGGGAAGCCGAAAATTCGATATGCCGCTTCCGGGGCGCATACTTAACGAGTGTCCCAATATGAGTTAATCTCGTCGCGATCTTGTGTGTCTGATGAGTCCGGCTGTTGTTGAATTCGAAGTCGGGCCCGGTCGGCCCCTTTTTAACATATTTGTACAAATATTTGACCGCGTGAATGAGGGCACAGACCTCAACGTTGATATGAGCGTTGAAGAGCAAAGTCCAATAGGGACAATCGGGAACCACCGACCGATTGTCCACACTGAGACCCCGACAATAAAGGGATCGTCCATCTTCGCGACGACGGTATTCAGGGTAGCTGTCCCCAGAGATTGAAGTTTCGTTCCGAGAAGACTTTGGATAACGTTTCGAGCAGTGACCTTGTTTCATGCATGGGGAGTGGGGGTCGTGAACTCCGCAGGGGCGATGTATCATTGATTTGGAGACGATCAGGTGGAGGGAAGACTCTGTTATCGGATCAGGTAGCTCGGCGCTAATGATGCTGTCGACATCGGCTGCTGTGGTTATCTTCGAATCGGCCTTAAGTGTAAGCAACATGTGCATATGAGGTAGGCCTCTTTTCTGGAATTCGATGACGTAGATGTGGGCGGCGACTTCGGCGAGCGCTTGTTTCTTGAGGACCTCATTGCAGAATGCTTTGACCTTCAAGTGAAATATGCGCGCTACCAAGTCAGGTCGGTCGGACGCAGTCTGACCTTCTCGGAGATGACTTGTTAGCTCTGGCCAAGAGGGATTGCAAGTGAAGGTAAGGAATAAGTCTGGTTTGCCATACTTCGATACAATGCTCATCGCGTCCTGGTATTGAGCTATCATATATCTGGGACCTACAGCGAAAGTGGTTGCGAGGATGATTTGTCATCTTGGTGGTCCCGCGTCATGGTCGCTCAACATGTGATCTTGGAGTCCGCGGACCGCGTCGAGTTTTAGCTGTTGTTGATTTCGGCGAATGAAGTTGAGTCGGTTCATCTCAATCTTCAGCCAGCTGTCAACGATGAACTGTTGGCTTAGTTTGCCGGCGTGGTGGAGAGGATTGAACTCGTTGTCTCGAGCGAAGAGCAAAAATGAGTAGGTAATACTCCTTTCGAGTAAGTCTAGTTCGGCGCTCTGATGATGGGTTGAGACGTTCCATTTGAGGGTGCCAACCCTCCCGCCATTCGGAAACAAAAGCGGATAAGTTAGTGGGTCGCAGAGCTGATGCAGATAGCTGAGAGTTTTGAGTGTTCCACTATTCTCGTGTACT